GTTTCCCAAAGTGGTCCTGAAAGACCAGAGAACAAATTTCACATTCTGGGGAAGTAAGTATGTATGGGAGCTAGTAAGTGTTAGACCATCTATCTGACTTTTAAGATGATGCTCAAAAGGTCATTGTCCAGGACCCCTGACACTGGGATCAACTACTCACAGCCTTACTCTTTGCTATCAAATATGTGCCTCAAGCTTCCATGAGGTTTTCACCCTTCAAATAGTTATATGGGCGACAATCAAGAGGCTTACTTGACTGAGTATGTGAAGGCCAAACACAGAGCTGTAAAGTTGCACCAGAGCCTGGAGGTTATAGAGGCATATGCTCGAGATACTCTTAAAGAAACACAGGAACAACAACAGTATAACAAAGGGACGTGGATGTGTCTTTTTCAGCTGGGCAACTGAGTCCTGTTGTTTCTTACAAGCTTGGAATCAAAGCTAATGGTAAAGTGGTAAGCCCCTTACTAGGCGATAAAGTAAGTGAGGACTGTGGTCATCTAAATGGGGGGAATGGGAAAGGGAACAGTCTATCATGTAAATGTATTGAAGCCCTGTAAAGCCAGGGAAAACCTTTTTCTTATACCATATTCTGCGGATGGGAATTCAGACCTCAAGGTAAAAGAAGGCTTGGTGATCTGGAATAGAGATGTTAAAATGGTTAACTGGCTAAAAGCTAGTGGTCAGCTGTTTGTGCTCAGCTTTTTTAACTCAGTGTCTGCCGTTGTGGCCATGGGGTCCTGCTGCTGGTCCCACTGGCCCCCCCTCCATAACCAATGCTGCTCTGGCGCGGCATAGCTGCTGCTGGAATTCACTGGAAAGCCTCATGCTTGTAACCAATGCTGCTCTGGCGTAGCACAGCTGTTGCTGGAATTCACTGGAAAGCCTCATGCTTACTGTTATGCTTACCGGTTAATTGTTTAACATCCCTTCTCTGGAAGAACTTAAACAATAAGCAAAGGGAAGAGGCACTGCAGCTGGTGGCCACTTTTCCATGGGTTTTCTCAGCCCTACCCAGAAGTTATTCCTCATAAAATTCCATGTTAATAGAGAACCTGGTAAGGTAATGAAAGAAGGGCTCCAATTTATCCCCAACAAATTGTGTGTGTGGAGAAAGATCAGGGTCATGCTGGAATGAGGGGTGCTGGAGTCCCAGATTACCTGAAGGAGGAGTCTTGTGCTGATCCCAAAGCCTGATGATTCGTCACGTTTTTGCATAGCTTTCAGAAGGGTGAACTCAGTTTCCAGCTCTGACACCTACTCCACGCCCCAAATGGCCAAGCTCTTAGTTAGACTAGGAGAAGCTCAATATGTCACCACTGTAATTTTAAAGTTGTCCAAGCCTTTCCATTGTAAGGCCCTTTTTCTGTAGCTTATAACCAAGCAAATCTGGATGGGTGTCTGCCTCATGATGAATTTGTTCTGAAAGCTTCAGCAAATGGTTTCAGTTGTGTCTGAGAATGAGGTTACAGGGAACTTGGGGGAAAAGGGAGAATGTGGGGCAGAGGTATAAACATTCCTACAGTGGGAAAAACTGTGGGGCTGCTGCCTAGTGCTTTGGAGCAGAGGTTTGATGCTTGGCAGGATGGTAGGAGCTATCACCCTAAGTGTGGAGACGTGCTGCCCCTATGAAAATTCACCAGAACTTAAGCTTTTAAACATTACAGTTCACCCGTATTCTAGAGTCTCGTTACAGGCTGGCAACAAAATTCTTGCACCATTCCATCGGCTCTGAGCAGCGCTTGTTGAGCATGCTCCTGACTGGGGCTGAACAGCACGTTGCTGTATCTGCAATTTCTCCTCTTTTTAGCTGGGGACTGCTCTGACGTGGAGCCCTAGAATTGAGAAAAGCGAAATTTTTCTCCTGTGCGCTCAATGCCTCACTGCGCTCCTGCCTTGGTGGGGGAAAAAGGAGGAAGAGACTTTAAACTGAAATCCAGATGGGCAGGGCTGACGTGTGGTTGGGGGGGGAAAGGGGGAGATAAAAAAGGTCATATGTTCATGTAACATTGTGGGGGAGAGGGAAAGAACCAGTATCCGAGGATGGCTCGAGGCAATCGCCTCTCACTTTGGGGCCCCCACGGTGGTCTGGGGGGCCTGGTGATGACAGCAGGGGTCAGACCCCTTCCCTCCTCCCCACATACACACTTACTGGTGGCTGCAGGAAGCAGAGCAACCTGGGCCCAGCCTGCTCTGCTCCTCTGCCTCCCAGCTGCGTTGAGGGCAGGGAAGTTGGGAAAAGGGCTGGAACCATCCTCCTGCATTCAGCAGTGATGGGAAGTGAGCCGACGGGTGGAAGCCAGAGGAGTGGAGGGCAAGGGCCAGATCATTCCACTTCCCACTGCTGCGGGTGTGCATGGGGGCGGCCCTCACCCCTGTTGTGGATACCAGTTCCCCTTGCTGCCAGTGCAAGTGCCTCCAGCCATGTCACTTGGGGGAGAGGGCTTGGTGGAATAGGGGTGGGGAGGTTGTGGAGCAGGGACAGAGGCTCGGGTGAAGGGTTGCAGCAGGGGCAGGAAAAGGGTAGCAGTGTTAAAATTTTAGTTTTTTGTAAATGTGTAACCACTGACATTTTCAGCAGTTACATGTTTACATGCGCTGCTGCCTCTGTATGGGGAGCCGGTGCCTCTTGGGGAATTGCCTGCCACCCCTCCGCGCTGCTGCCAAAGTTCCCAGAATTGCTGATGACCTTGGTGAGGGTTAAAATGGTTACACATGATAGAACTTGTTTTTCAATTTGTTTAAAACAAACGGACCAACCTAGGAACCTATGTTTTAAAGTAAACAGAGCAAACAAAAATACTGCGTTAAAAAAACTTTGACTACAGAGGCATGCATGCCGAAGGAATTAAAAAGCACCAGAATTAGGCAGCCCGTGCAAGATCAGTTTGCCCCCATTGTGGGTATGCATTAGGATACAATTTTTAAATTACGTGGTCACAGATTTTGTTTTTCCCTGGAAGAGTTGTGTTTGGGGTTGCAAACCTTTAGTGCAATGTGTAACATAGAACTTAATGTTTATCATCCTAAGAAATTCTTCATGTCAAAGGGTATAGCTCTCATTGTGTGTGCGAGTCCCTCAGGTTCCCCAGAGCAGGGAATTAGGGGGTTGGTGTGCTTGGCAACAGTCTCACCATTGGGAAGGAGATACTGGCATGACTAGCAGCATAGGAGCCAGTGTGTCTGCTTTTCCTGCCCCCCTTAGCTTCCAGTGTGCTAGATATTCCTTGCTTCCTCTTAAATCACATTATTTCATAAAGAGGAAAAAGAAACATAATTTGGAGCAGCAGTGAGCTGAGCCCAAGTTAATAGTTTGAATTGTACTCCATCTGTTCAGTTGCATGGCCTGATGGATGTGCTGAGCCATTTTTCACAATTTGTTTTAGAGCTGGTAAGAACAATCTTTTCTGGATTTGTTCCAAGGTTTCTGCTGGGAAAACTTCATATCTGGATGCTGCTGTCCTCAGGGAGGGGCGGGTGAAAGTCAATAATCCTCAGTTGGCAACCCACCTCTTTCACTTGCCGTGGTTAGTTTTTGAAAAGATTAAATTCTCCTCTGGAATTCAGCATTATCATTATTATTATTTTAAAAAATGGATAACATTTGCAAACATGATTATGCTGGGCTGCTTTAAATCGGCTTAGTGCTGTTTTGTGATCACAAGTAAACCGTAACAGGAGCCGGGGTGATTGGCCTCGCCATGTGTGCGTACCACTGGTAACAAAATAAATTAGGAGAACTCACAAATCGCCAAACCCAAGAACCTTTGCTATAGATGCAAACAAACTAGATTTCAAGTAATTTTTGCCTGAACACTGACCCACTGAGAGCTGTGGTGTCCATGTCAGAGCTATCAGGTCATAAATGGTGTAAAATGTAGCAGATTGCAGACGTCCTCTCTTTTCTATACAGTGGTATAGCCTGTGGAAATTAGATGTCCCACCATGTTGACCCAAGTAGCCAGGGGTGACTGGCCTCAGTATGTATCTTTCACTGTACGAAATGCTATTGTTTTTTTCCCCCATGTCTCCCCTCCCCTACCAAGATAAAAACAATGCTAAAAATATTCCTCACCTCTTTTAACCACTTTGATGTTTAAAACCCAAATTTAAAAATCATTATAGCTTTTCACTGCTGATGTTGTTTTAGTGTTTGGTTTTGACTGGATTTGGACAGTTACCCTGGCGCAATCCATTTCGCTTTTTGATCTGGTTTCTTTTTTAGCTAGCAACTAATCTCATGTCCAGGGTCTTAGCACTTCAGGAACAGGTCTTAGACCAAACCACAACTTATTTTAATAGATCTCTTAAGATACTTTATTTTGACCCACAGCTGTGTAGTAACTTGGATGTTGTAAGTAACAAAAAAAACCAAGCATTTTGGATTCAGACTCTCAAAGCGTTTTCATTCCAATAGTGATTTGATATGAAATAGTGATAAGAAAATTGCCACCTGGGCATGGGACATCTAGTGCTGTCCGGTGATTGGCTGTCAGGACACCGGGATTCTATTCACCACTCAACTTCTGGTTCCCTTTTTGATCCTGGGCAAATCACTCACATATGTGCCCATCTACTAGGTTAGGGTGGTACTTACCATTCATTTCTGACAGCTTTAGGAAATGGCTATCTAAGTGAAAGGGGTGCTCTCAAAGCATTTTCATTCCAATAGTGATTTGATATGAAATAGTGATGAGACATCGGACATCGAGTGCTGTCCGGTGATTGGCTGTCAGGACACCGGGATTCTATTCACCACTCAACTTCTGGTTCCCTTTTTGATCCTGGGCAAATCACTCACATATGTGCCCATCTACTAGGTTAGGGTGGTACTTACCATTCATTTCTGACAGCTTTAGGAAATGGCTATCTAAGTGAAAGGGGTGGGAGGCTGTACAGTGTTAATTTGCTATATAGCGAAGTCTGTGGATTACTTTTCCTTTTTCTTTCTCTTTCTTTAATTTATTTTGGAGTAACTTTTTATCCTTTCTCTTTCATAGGCATGGCCTTGGCACAGCGTCAGGTCACTGTTCAGGAGAGCCCTCTATACCGTACGGAGGGCTCCCACATCACCATCTGGTGCAAGGTGAGTGGCTACCAGGGTCCCTCAGAGCAGAATTTCCAGTGGTCCATTTACCTGCCATCTGCCCCAGAGCGGGAAGTGCAGATTATCAGCACCATGGATCCCTCCTTCCCTTACGCCATCTACACCCAGCGTGTGCACAGTAAGGAAATCTATGTAGAGAGAGTACAAGGAGACGCTGTCCTGCTGCACATCACGGCACTCCAGGACCGGGACGCTGGCGAGTATGAGTGCCACACACCCACCACGGATGAAAGGTACTTTGGGAGCTACAGCGCCAAGATGAAACTGATGGGTAAGGTGTTTGCTTTATCTCTGTTCTCTGGAGCCCAGATCACTAAGTATTGGTTTCTTTCTGCATTGACTGTACTAGAATTCAATAAACTCCATGTGCGGGTATGTCCCATGTGTGCTGTGTCCTAAAACGCTTGAGTATGGAGATCGTACAAAAGAAGAGAATGTTTATAGTGTAAATTATAGGAAACAATGATGTAAATACAGTGTGAGAGAATAAATTAAGACTCTAGTAATGAGACTTAATAAGAGGAGAGAAACCAAGAGAAATGTAGGCGAGGCGGAAAGGCATTTCAAATCTTGGCTGAAAGCAGGACATGGAATTGATTTATGTGCAGAAAATGGGAAGCCTGTTCCAGATGCCAGTACAGAGAAGAGAGTTTTTATGCCAAAGGGGCAAATTTGTGTGTCAGGGAAGAGAGGAAACCAGCTAGATAAGTGTAAAGGCAAGCAAATAGACAAGGTTCCTGAGGCTGAAACGAAGAGGTAAATGTTGAAATGGATACTGAAAGGAACAAGAAGTGGGATGAGCTTCCTGTGGTGAGGGTGATGTAGGTGATCTTTTCCTTTGTACTAAACGAATTGGAAAGAGCTGCCTTGTTTTGGCATTCTCCTGGCACCTTTCAGAGAGAGGCTCTCTGAGTTGTTTTCATACTTTGATTAAAGCCTTGGCACATCTCTGTCAGGTTAAGGTCTATGCTATCCCAGTGTAACAAGTGAGGGAGCTGAGGCGTAAAGATTAAGCCTTGCCTGAAGTGTTCCATTGAATCTGAAATAGAGCTGGGAATGGACTTCAGAATGCCTGACTCTGAATGCCATGGTATAATCAGCTCACTATTCCCCCCCCCACCACCCATTTACAATAAGTGACTAGGATAACAGCTGGGGGGCTGCTGTGACTAGAGACTTGTTCCCCTCTCTTCCACCCTGGATTTGTCAGAGTATGCATGGCTTTGTTGCTGGAGCAGATGGTGCGATGTTCTCTGCTCAGCAGGAGCATGAGGCAAGAAGCAAGACACAGGTGTTCTTTTTCTGACTCTGCCTTGTGACCTTAAGGCACTTTTAAATTCTGCGTCTCGGTCTTCCCATCTCTAAAATGAGAATAAACGTGTATAAGCGTGTGACTGTTTTTCAAGTGCTATTGATGTCCTGTGACCAAAAAGTGCTGAATGGGCAGAGTTTGGCATTTTAAAGGATTTCAGCCTCAGAAAAACAACTTGGGATTGATATTTTTGGGAAATACAATAATAACAATATCATAGTTACATATTGTACTGGCCAGATCATGCAAACACTGTTTTGACAGGGCTTTTCTCTCTCCTTTGAAGCTCGCATCTTTGGAGAAAGCGTTCAAAGGTGCCTTCTGGGTAATATTTGCAAATGAGTCTTTTTGGAGAATGCTGTCTGCTGTGTTTTCTGTGCATGTCTTTCCTCATTTCCTTAATGTTTAAGGAACAGTTGTAAGTAAACAAAATCTTATTTTCATATAAGTACATTTTCCCTGATATTTATTCCCCCACAAGAAGTCACACCCAGCTCTGTTTGTGACATCACAGTAGTCACCATGTAAAACAGAAGGTTCTGACCTCTAGTGGGATTATAAATAGCAGGAGCAGATGGACTCCGAAGGAACCTAGATCTTGGTTTTTAATATAAACTGTCCCTAGAAACTAAAGTAACTAAGGATGAGAAATGCAGAGAATAGACTGGATTAAAAATATTTTTGTATCTCTCTCCCAACTCTGAGCAATCACTAGTTCTTTGAAGGCTTTTAACCCTTTAGGATTATGGATATTGGTTTAAGCATTTAATTCCTGAATTATTTTAAGCATTTACGAATGGGGTGTAGATGGATGGAGGGGGCGGATATCAGAGGCTCCTGAATCTCAAGTTGTTAGAGTGAGATGGAGGACCAGAGTTACTGACCCATGGGGAAAAAGAAGAATTTAGAGTAGCTGCATGACTTGTGCATCTGAAATGGTGATAGAAGCAGGAAGCTGCTGGTAGGGAAGAGGAGAGTTAGCTCAAAGAAAGCACAGAGCTGCACACCAAGAGCACTGCAAGCTTTGGAAATAAACATTTTCCAGCAGGTGTTAACAGGTTACCAAGTAAGCATTTGCCTTACTGGAATGCATACTGGGTAACTGATTAATTGGACTACCAGGCCTGTTGGTTGCCTATCAGAACCAGCCAGGTCAGGGGAGCCCCGGCCCTGGCTGTGCTGCAGCATCTCCAACCCTGCCAGGACAGCCCTGGAGGGGGCAGGCAGAACCCAGGCCATGATGCAGCAGCCCTGTTGGGACCCAGCCCCCAGCTGTGCTGCAACAGCTATGGCAGGGGCAGGCAGGATCCTGGCCATGCTGCGGGAGCTCGGAGGCAGCCCCAGCAGGGGTGATGGACCTCTTGCCCCACCGTGGTGGCCCCAGCCTTTATCCTCAGCATGATGGCTCTGACTATTCTTTAGCGGCCCCAGCTGCATCACGGCAGCTCCAGCTGTGGGGCGCCCCCCCCCCCGTGCCTAGTCAAAGCCACCCAACCCTAGCTGCCCTGTGCCCACCAACTGTTAACCAGTTAAATGATATAGTTTTAATCATTTGACCAGTTAATTATTTTCATCGATAGTTAAATCCCTCGTGCTGTGGCTAGGACTTGACACCTTGTCGATCAGCCAGTTTCTAAAGTGTGAAGGTGGGTCACAGGAGAAGCTGTGGCGTGGAGACATGAGGCTATCTAGTTAAGGGGAGACATCAGTAAAAGGGTGCTAGGTAATTCCAGGAAGGAAAAGAGTCTGCTGTGCAGTTTGTATGGGTGTGAAGTGGGACCCATTCTGCCTGCTGGGGTAGAAGAAAATGAGTTGTGAAGATGGAAAATAGCTTCTTGAGGGGGATGAACTGCTAGGTTGTGGCGGATGGTGAAGTACTAGGCATAGACTCCCGTCCGTCTGTAGAAAGCATTTAGACCAAGTGTCTCTGCTTGCACTGGGTCCCCTTGCCTCAATGGGGATCAGAGTTCAGGTTCTGCCTGGGATGAGAGTCTCCACTTGCTGGTTATGAGAGAGGGAAGGCGTATACAGGACCTAGACAGCTGGCCTTCTTTCACCCTGCTTGGCCATAAAGAAGTTGATGAGAGGGGACGCTGCTTTTCGAGGCAACCAGGATTGCAAATTGCTTTCCTTGAGGAAAATGTGGCTTACAGCCTTTTTTTTTTTTTTTTTTTTTTTTTTTAAAGGTCCTTCAGGAGAAGCTGATATGCTGTGCCCTGCAAATCCTAGATGTTTTGCCTGCCTGACTGCTTTTGACTTGGGGCTAATAAGCACTAGCTTCTTCTCTCTGCCTTCCTTCTAAAAGCAGTTGCGTACCATCCTGGCTTTTGAGCAAACCATGTTCAAATTTGCCCTGATCTCCCTTCCTGAGGGGACAGTGTGGGGCTCAATTGGACTAATGGAGCCCTAGGAGGAAGCTAGGAAAGTAGTAGGGCAGGGAGGGGTGGGGTGGAGGAGGCTGGCAATCAGTTGTTTCTTCTTCTGCTCAGTGGCAGTTTTTCCACATGAAATGCAATAGTCTCTCCTGACCTCTTGCAGAGCACTCTGTTAGCTAGTGTGAGAACATCCCCCTATCAGCCCGAGAAATGCCACCTGAAAGGCAGGGCAGTGACTCCTTGTATGTGGGGGTGGCTGGAAGGGGAAATGCCACCTTAAAGTCAGGGCAGTGACTCCTTGTATGTGGGGGTGGCTGGATGGGGGAATGCTTCTAGTTACTGGTGGGCTAAGGTTTGCAGCCAGGCTTCCTCTTCTTGGGTTCTTGTTATCATGCGTGTGTGTCCTCCATGGCCTTTAGCCCACTCAGGAGGAAAGCAAACCCGTTCAAAAAGAGCTGCTGAGTCTTCAGTGAGTTATTATTCTCATTTTCTCCTAAGTGTAACCAACCATTTTTTTCCTTTCATCCAGTTATGAATTTTTAAATTCTTCATTAGGCTGAGCAGCTTTTTTGGCAGTAGATAAGCCTGGTGGGAGAGAAGGTGGGGTTTTTTTTAGCATCTCTACTCTCTCTGTGGGGCAAGTGGGAATAGGGAGGGGGGCATGACCAGGTTTTGGAAGCTGCATAGTCTCGGCTTTTGGCTCACTTAATGTTGTGGTTCATGGTAAATGGTGACTGAACAGTCTGTTCCTGTTGGTTACAAGAGGTGGCTCTGGGACCTGGAGGTCAGGAGGTTGGAAGGCTTTGGAGTATCTGGCTCTGAGGTCAGGTGGTATTCTAGTGCAGCCTGGCTCTAATGGCTTCTGTTTGACTCCGTGTCAGCACAATGATGTCTTGCTGTGCTAATGCATCCTGTTAACTGTTCCTTTGGCCGCTGTTTGCACCATGAGCTATCGTGGTGTTTGTTCTTTCCATCTCCGAACGGGTCCCTTGTGTAATGAAGCCAAGAGCCTTCAATCGTTAACTGTTGGACTGATTGGATTGTTTAAAGTCATGCCACTTGGGTTTGAAAATTCTCTCGCTCATTTTGTAAAACCAGTGAAATCAAGTTTGTTTTGTAGCTCAATGCACAGCGCTCTGAGGGTTCCTCTTTGTTTATAGGGAATCCGGGTTTGGGTTGGGTCCCTTTCAGTATTTCCTGGATTACCTGAAACCCACAACCTGAAGTGATTCTAAATCACCATGACACATTTAACTTCAGACGCTGTGAACTTATGAAAAACAGGCAGGCAGCACCATGAGTCCTTGTTTCATAGAAGTTAGAGGTGGGGGTAAAAAACTTGCTTGATCAACCACAAAGACCCCTTGGCATATTGAAGGGAATCCCGTGAAAAGCTTAGCTGACTACCAGTATGTTTGCTATATAAAGGATGCTGGGGCTATGTTGGGGATTGGATAGCTGAATCAGGGTTCTAAGAAGAGCTAGATACATTCATGGAGGGTAGGTCCATCAAAACTTATCAGCCAGGATGGGTAGGAATGGTGTCCCTAGCCTCTGTTTGTCAGGGGCTGGAATTGGATGACA